ACCAAGTCAGTTCCCCCCAGTGTCAGAATGCCCGCCGCAGTCCAGCTATAAGTCGCTGATCACTGCCATTACTAGTAACCAAAAAAAAATTCCAGTATATATACCACCATTTGTAAACGCTGTAACATTCATGTAAACCAATTAATTTGCATGTATTGGGATTTTTTAGCAAATTTTTTTAGCAAAGACATTTAGCAGAATACATTTTGCCCTAAATTAATGACAAAATTTGATTTTTTCATTTTTTTTTACTGGACATATTTAATAGCAAAAAGTCAAAAAATATTTTTTTTTCTCAAAATTGTCGGTCTTTTTTTTTTTAAACTGCAAACAATAAAAACTGCACAGGCGATCAAATACCACCAAAAAAACTCAATTTGTGGGAAAAAAGGACGTAATTTCACTTGGGTGCAGCGTTGCATGACCGTGCAATTGTCAGTTAAAGTAATGCAGCATGTAACGTAAAAAAATGGCCTGGTCAGGAAGGGGGGTAAATCCTCAGGAGGGCAAGTGGTTAAAGGAATATTCCATCATGGAAGACAATTTGTTTCATTCAAGTACCACAAAAGCAAACTGCTTACACTGAGAATGGATGTATGTGTCAACTAAAAAATGATTCATCCTACCAACGACTTAAATATTATATTTGTAAAGTCTTTTTCATTGTACACCTACTAGAGTCATAAAAAAGGAATCTGATGAGGAATGTTCACTCTCACTGTTGTGTAAACAGGAATCACCGGGCTGCCTTCATTTACTGTGCCTGCTATGTCACAAGCCACACTCACTCCCACTAATTCCAAAGCCTTTGATGAATTGCGCATGAAAACTTAAGTAAACTGATGTCTCTGCAAGTCAAATCAAAACGTTGGTTTCCACCAGTTTTTCTGCACCTATGGTATGAACGAGGTCTAAATCTACACATATCACAGAGTTGCTGGGTGCTGTGGAATTTTATGTGCAAATCCCAACTAAAATCTAGTATGTTCACAGAACTGGCACCTGCCCATCAGGTGCTCAGAGGCCAGTGGGCTGCCTACCTGCCCTATAACCTAGACCCATAACTAGGCTTTTCTGAGGGGTCCAAAGGCACTCTAAATTAAGCATTGGTGGTTTTAACTACATTTATACTGGACATGTGCAGAGCAAAAAATTAGTTTCATTCAGGTTCAATTTGTTCTGTTACTAATTTTGTTTTGTTGCATTCATAGCGAAATTTGTTTTGTTTTCGACCGGGTTAGAATTTTTGCCAATAAATTTAAAGTATTCATATTCAAACTGAAAATATTGTATCGATCTGAATTAATTGTGAATAGGTGGTTCTATTCTGTTAGAATTTTTGAAGACGGCTATATTCTTTGTATTGTATTGTGTTCTAATCTATTCTATTCTATTTTTTTCTTTTCTATTTCTTTATTTTTTATTCTATTCAGTTTTATTCTATTCTTTTTTTCATTTTTTTCTATTCTATTTTGTTCTATTCTTTTTGAAATTCAAATTTCGGAGGACAGCTATATTCTTTCTATTTTATTCTACTCTATTCTAATCTATTCTATTTTTTCTATTCTAATCTATTCTTTTCTATTCTATACATTTCTGTTCTATTTTTTTCTATTCTATTTCTTTATTTCCTATTATATTTATTTATTTCCTATTCTATTATATTCAGTTTTATTCTGTTCTTGTTTATTTTGTTCTATTCTATTTTGTTCTATTCTTTTCAAAATTCGAATTTTCGGAAGACGGCTATATTCTTTCTATTTTATTCTACTTTATTCTATTCTTTTTTTTTTTTCTATTTTATTCTATTATTTTTTCTATTCTATTCTTTTCTATTCTGTTCCTTTATTTTCTATTCTATTCTATTTTTCTATTCTATTCTTTTCTATTCTATTTTTTTCTATTCTGTTCCTTTATTTTATATTCCTTTATTTTCTATTTTATTCTATTTTTTTTTTCTATTCTATTATTTTCTATTCTGTTCCTTTATTTTATATTCCTTTATTTTCTATTGTTTTCTATTCTATTCTGTTTTACTCTATTTTATTTCTTTCGGAATTCGAATTTTGAAAAATGCTTATATTCTTTCTATTTTATTCCATTCTATTCTGTTCGAATTTCGGAAGACAGTTATATTCATTCTAGTCTATTGTTTTCTAGTCTTTTCTATTCTTTTATTTTATACTCTATTCTATTCCTTTATTTCTATTCTATTCTTTTATTTTATATTCTGTTTTATTCAATTCTATTCTTTTCAAAATTCTAATTTCGGAAGATGGCTATTTTATAACACTAATACACATAGTCTTCAAAGGAAATCAGCAAATGTCAGCAATATGTTTAAAGTTCGAATTTGTTTTCAAATTTGATTCAAATTTCAGACAAAATTATTAGTTATTTCAGATTCGTTTAAATTAATTATTATTGTAAGTCAGATTTTCGGATACATCCAAAAAGGTATGAAGAATTATTCAGCTACTGACAGAATAACTCAATCAATCCAAACATGGGTGTTTCTTAATCATGTAGTAAATGCCTATGAGTTTTCCAAATTTCCCATTTTCTATCAAATAAGTGCATCTTGTCCAGTAAAGTGTAATGAATTCTCTCCATGAGCATCCCAGCATCAATCCTATGCAGAACAGAAGCCAATAGTACTGCGAGGGACTTCCAGTGTAGGGCAATAGCCCATAGGGTGGATATACAAATGGTATGGATTAGCCTCATAACCTCAGTCTGAATTCCCAAGATATGGGCTCCCTGTAGGCAGGACTGTACAGTCAAATGCACCGGAACACCCGCCAATGCAGAAGCAACCTCCGAGACCCTATGCCACACCAAGGAGAGGCCCGGACAGGTCCAAAATGTATGCACCAGAGTACCTGCAAAAACATAGGTGAGACATGTTTGGATACAAGACATTTAGTCTGGATGGGGTATAATACCATCTGGTTAATACCTTAAGGGCTGTCCCACAGACCGAAAGGGATCTGGAGCTCTTACATATGTTATCCACCATGGAATCCCAATCCTCATCCCAAAAGGTGATACCACTATCAGCTTCCCATTTTTGTCTGTAAAGAGGGGTTGTAGGAAAAGAACTAAGAGTTGATGATACATATCTGAAATAAGACCCCTGCCCCTAGGAGAGTCACGGGTAATAAGTTTGAAAAACGAAATCGGAGATGAAGGTATAAGACCAAAATGTGAACTAAAAAAATCTGATCTGTCGATAATGATGATATTCATGAAGCGGGATATCAAAGTGTGTGCGTAACATCTCAAAGGTGATATAAGATCCTCCTCTTTGAAAATCAGATAACCCGATAAAGGATCCATCATACCACCAACGGAACGCCTGCGGAGATGAAAAAGCCGCAATAAAATCCGGGTCACCAAAAAATGCTGAACCCGGAGAGACAGGGGAAACCAGATTTAATCTAAATTTATATTTTTTATCTTTAAAGATTTGACACAGAGAAATTGGAACTCTTTTTGTGCAAAAATGAAAAAAAAATATATAAAAGTCACATATTTCCCTATTTCAGATAGAAAAATATAGTTATTTGTGATTGTCAAGGCTTGTCGTTGGTAAGGACACATTTTCACTTAAATGAGTCTACAAAAATCAGCCCAGCAATCTAGAGGAGAGCAGATCTGGCCAATGTGTTGGAAACAATACCTGCCGGCAGATCATAGTTAGGATGGAAAGACGAAATGGATAGGTTTTGAAACAGGTCTAATCACATTCTCTCCCTGAGCATACATTTCTACATAAAAATAGAACGACAGACATGTCTCCAGGCAGTCAGATGTGACTTTCAGATGTTACTGTCTTCAGGGCTACCAGGATATGCAAGATAATGTCTGGCAGACAAGCAAAATAGAAGAAAGTCATATTCCAGATCTGTAAGCTGCCTTCTATATTTAGTGGTATACCAGGTGTGAGACAGACAGGTAGAACATTAAATATAGATAAAGGATTACAGATCCGGAGTATAAAGTTCTTGTTGTGAAGTGGAGCTGAGCCGTGTGGCAGCCAGCAGAAGAAATGACTTTTTGAGAATAATATTTGTCAGACTTGAGGACGGATCTTCAGTCATACACTGCTTGTTACAAACTTTGTATGTATGAAAATGACAAACGATGGCACCTGGAAAAAAATATGGGTCAACCAATGTGCAATGTGTGCCTTTTTTCAGGTAAAATATTTTAAAGAAAATCAATTATAGACAAGAAAACTACCTAAATATTATTTTTCTTTATTTTATGGCTTTTTGAGAATAATATTTGTCAGACTTGGAGACAGATCTTCAGTCATGCACTGCTTGTTACAAACTTTGTATGTATGAAAATGACAAAAGATGGCACCTGGAAAAAAATATATGGGTAAACCAATGTGTAATGTGTGTGTTTTTTTCAGGTAGAATATTTAAAAAAAAATCAATTGCACAAAAGAAAATTACCTAAATATTATTTTTTCTTTACTTTATTTTACTAAACATTCAAAACTCAAAATTGACCCTTTTGTAGAACCACCATCATGTCTGCAGGTACCCATAGACATACCCAGCAGGCATGATCCAACTGCCTATCTGTGCTGTTCCATCAACACAAATGTCACTTGCCTACAGGGCACTTATACCCCCTTCCTACCCAGACCAATTTTCAGCTTTCAGTGCTGTCGCACTTTGAATGACAGTTGCGCGGTCATGCAACATTGTACCCATATGAAATTTTTTATCATTTTTTTTTTAGACAGATGGAGCTTTCTTTTGGTGGTATTTAATCACATCTGGGTTTTTTCATGTTTTGCTAAACAAACCAAAAACAACTGAAAGTTTTGTAAATAAGTTATTTTTCTCCTTCACTGATGTGCGCTAATGAGGCTGCAGTGATGGGCACTGATAGGTGGCACTGATGAGGAGGCACTGGTAGGTGGCACTGATGGTCATTGACAGGCATCACTGATGGGCACTGAAAGGCAGCATTCATATATGGCACTGATAGGTGGCACTGATAGGCAGCACTGACTGTCACTGATAGGCGCCACTGACTGGCACTGTTAGGTGGCACTGTTAGCTCGGCACTGATGCGCACTGATAGGTGGCATTGACTGGCACTGATAGGGAGAACTGACAGGCACTGATTGGTAGCACTGATTGGCAGCACTGATAGGCGGCACTCACTGGCACTGATAGGTGGCACTGAAAGGCAGCTCAGATGGGCACTGATATATGGCATTGATGTGCACTTGTAGGCACTGATATGTGGCATTGATGTGCACTTTTAGGCACTGATATGTGGCATTGATGTGCACTGGTAGGCACTGATATGTGGCATTGATGTGCATTGATGTGCACTGGCAGGTGGCATTGATGGGCATTGACAGGTGGCATTGATGGGCACTGACAGCTGGCACTGCTGGGGGTACATTGATCATCAGGGCACACTGATCATCAGTGCCCTGATGATCAGTATACATGTCCCCTCTGAGGAATGTCGATTACCGGCTCTCCTCTCCTCACGAGCTGTGAGTGTGACAGCTCGTGAGGAGAGAAATGCCGATAACCAGCATTTCCCTATTTACATGCGATCAGCTGTGATTGGACACTCTTCGAAGTCTTCGGCTCTTTCCGTTGATCGGTGATCCGCAGGGACACAGCGCATCACCAATCACTGCGATGCACGCCCCCGGGGGCACGCATGCGCGGTTATAGTGGCAGGATGTAATATGACGTCCTCCCAGATTGAGAGAACTGCCTTGCGCCTGTCATTTCCTTATATGGCGGTTAAAGGATAAGTTCACATTTTGGGACAAAAATATTAAAAGCACATTTTTTTTTCAAGTAAACAAATGTGCATTTATTATTTTTGTCCAAAGGAGCCTACAAAGCATTGCACCAGTGATCAGTAGATCGCTGCTGCCATGCAGGTCTCCTGCAGACCTGTCAGAATATCTGCTTGCCGTACGGGATGTACAAGTCAGGCAGATATGCTGCCAGGAAGCCTCAATGAACTACCATGAGGCTACACAGAGCCATGCTAGTTCATTGAAAACTACAAGCCCACAGCCGCTAAGGCAGCCGGGACTTGCCAGTAATCAGTAGATCGCTGATGCCATGCAGGTCTCCTGCAGACCTGTCAGAATATCTGCTTGCTGTATGGGATGTATGGCCAAGCAGATATTCTGACAGGAAGCTTCAATGAACTACCACGGGGCTAACACAGTGCCGTGGCAGTTCATTGAAAACTACAAGTCCATAGTCGCTAAGCCTGTCGGGACTTGCAGTTCATTCATTCATGGAACTCTGTGAATGAAGTACGCAGACGTGTGGGCGGAGCCCCGCATGGCCACGCTGTTTTTAAATCTGACAGATAATATGGGGAAACTTCTCCCCGTACTATCTGTCAGAGGGAAGGAGGCGGCGGGCGTGGCTGCAGCTATGGGAACATGTTACATTTCCACCCTAAAAATGGCTGGAACTTGTAACATGTTTCTAAAGGTGAACTTATCCTTTAAATGAAATAGTTTTAAAGTTGAATTCAGTATGTAGATCTTTTTGCATTATTGCATTGCTCTAGCTTGGACCAGTGTCAGTATGCATATGCCATACCTGTGGGACCACTGTGGAAGTGGAGAGCCGTGGCCATTTTTTTTCGCTTCTACATTATCGCAGCTGTCTCATGGGTTCCATGCTGATCGGCTGCCCTGTTTTTTTGCTATTAAATATGTCCAGTAAAAAAATTTTAAAAATCTAATTTTGTCATAAATTTATACCAAAATGTATCCTGCTACATGTGTCTGATTAAAAAAAATCCCAATATGTGTAAATTAATTAGTTACGTGAAATGGCGGCGATTAGTGACTTATAGCGGGACTGGGGGGGGGAACTGACTTGGTGTCACTGACATCCCCAGTGACACCACAACAGTGATCAGTGCTAATAAAAAGAACTGACACTGTACTAATGGCACTGGGAAGGAAGGGGTAAACATCTGGGGGGATCAAAGGGTTAACTGTGTGCTGTGTATTTCACTATGGGGCTGTGTTAGCGCTTTCCACTGTAAGCACACTGCTTTGTATGGCTTTTCTATGCAGAGCCATACAAATCAGTGTGCTGGAGCTGACAGGGGAGAGAACTGTATTGTTTACATACAGTTCTCTTCCCCCATTGGTATTACTCAGCAATCACTGGGTGCCGGCGAGTAATCACCTTCTGGGATATGGTGATTTACAGCCGAGGTCGCGAATGGCAGCGCAGGTTCCCCTAACTGGAAACGCAAAATCATGTGTATATATACGTGATTTTGTGCACCCGTGCCACCCTGTAGCAGTATTTCTGCTATAGGGCGGTGATAACGCGGTTAAAGAGACCCTGTCCCCAAACCATTCTTTTCAAAAAATATTTATATGTTTATTTAATTGATCTAAAAGGGAGAAAATTGTGGAAGAATGAGACACAGAAATTTCACGTAAAAGAAGACTGTTCCTCCATAATTGCCTCTCGGGAGATCAGGAAGGAATTTTTTTCCCAGCAGGAGCAAATTGGATCATGCTGTGCCGGGTTTTTTGCATTCCTCTGGATCAACTCTGGGTATAGGATTATAACTTTTTTTTTTTTTAATGGTTGAACTGGATGGACTTTTGTCTTTTTTCAGCCAGACTAACTATGTAACTATAATAGCTGAAGCTATGTGTAGTCTATGGAGTGTAATGTGTGCATAGAGTTCGTAAATACAATTAGTAGTCATAGTCAAGGTGGGAGCCATGAAATCATGGAACCTGTCACTGTGACCCCAGTAGTTACACCCAAGGATAGGGTATTTCCAGGCATAAAATGGTAAAGTTGGCAACTGTGAAAAGTCTAGTAAATGTCAGACTTTCCTGAGTCAGCCTGTACAAAGAGTGCTTATGAATCAAGGTTAGTTGTACTCTAAATTAGGGTAGGGTTTACTTCAGTCCCGCTCTCTTCTGCTTTTTCCAGTTTTACTCGAATCTTTGTCATTCTGTTCAAACTAAAATAAACTCTTTTCTTTCCCCTCCCTACTAGAATTGTGTAACATTCACAGGAGAAGAATCTGTGATAGAATGAGATTTGCATTTGTAAAAAGTGATTGTTTGTGTGGTCATGCACTCTGTGACACTACATACTGCATGTGATCTCTACAAACACTTAAGTAAATCTGATTGTTGAACAATGCTCCAAATCAACTGTACAGATACATATAAATTAAATGTTGACCTTTCAAAGACTGCAGGGTGATTGACTTGTACTTGTTAATCTGCTTGGAGACATGAAACAATCATCACAATGACAAGCAATGTTGACTGGATAAGGCAATTATCTTACGTATTTTGGAAACTTATGCAGAGTAAATATGTAGGCTAGGTTCACATCTGTGCGGGTGGTGCCGCTGTGGATCCGCACAAAAATCCGTGCAGCCTGCACAGAAGAATGCGGACCAGTGGGCGGGTGCCATTAATTCTAATGGCACGCCGCCCGCACTGGAAATCGCAACCATACTGGGAACTGAGGTTCCCATGCGGGCTGCGTTTTCAGAAGAAGTGCAGGGACTTCTTCCTTGCGTGTCACGGGGCACGGGAGTCCATTCAAATGAATGGGCTCTCCTGCCCGTGCAAAACGCAGACCGCAGGAACGCACATATGTGAACCAGGGCTAAGAGAGAATTTGACTGGGCAATTAGGCAAAGACATCAGAGAATTGATAGACATGCAAGCTTGATCCAACTGTCTCATAGGAGGTTATTTACTAAAACTGAAAGAGTGCAAAATCTGGTGCAACTCTACACAGAAGCCAATCAGCTTCCAGCTTTTATTTTCAAAGCGTAACTGGACAAGCGGAAGTTAGAAGCTGATTGGAATGCACATTGGATGCACAGCTGCACTAGATTCTGAGTGCCCCATTTGTGCAATAGAGAGGGACAGGAGAAAGTGATGGGAGAGGGCAGAGAGTGATAAGGAAAGACTGGAGAGAGGGATCGGAAAGAAGGATTTAAGGGGACATGGGAGAGGAATGGGAGGGCAAGAAGAGAGAGGGATGGGTAAGCGGGAAAAGAAAGACAAGAGAGACATACAGGAAAGGGATGGTAGATGGAAGAGAGGGATGGTTGAACAGAAAGAAAAGAGAATGGGACATGGAGGAAGGGATGGGTGAGGGAAACGGAGAGGAGAGAAGGATTGGAAAAAGAAGTAGGAGAGAGGGCAGGAAAATGAAAGGGAAAGATGAAGGACAGAGCGAGAGGAGGATGGGAGAGGGATGAGAGAGACACAGGAGAGGGAGAAGAGAGGGGCGAGAGAGAGAGAGATGAGCCACAGTAAAGAAGAATTGTGGAAAGGGGGGAGGAATAAGAGAGAGGGATGAGAGAGGCACAGGGGACAGATACAGTATGGAGGAGAGATGGGTAAAGGAGAGAGGGATGGAAGGGAAACATTGGGAAAATGGCTTCTCTTCCAGTGCTGGATTTTGCGTTGGGGAGCAACAGAGCTGTGGAGTAGTGTGGGGGGTGGGCAGCCAGGGCCGTCACCCCGGGCACAAAATTTAAAAGGGCCCAGAAACTATTTCTGTGCCATCCTGAGTCCCACACTGTGACTGACCATCGTCCTGTGCTGCTGCAGTGATTTCAGTCAGGACCCCACTGATCCTAGTTCTGGCAGCTCTGCAGCTCCCTGCTCCTGCTCCTTTGAGAAGGAGGTGACACACAGCTCACACCGGACCCCTCGCCAGTCCAATCCCGGGCAGGTCCTCAGAAAACATGGGGTGGTGTGCGGGGTATGATTGGAACACTGCATTCACTTTTTCTAGTTCTCTTATTCTATGCCTTTCTCTCTTTTAATTTCTCTCTTTCTCTTTTACTCTTTTTCTCTTTCTCTATAACTCTTTCTGTTTTTCTCTTTTCTCTCTCTCTCTTTTTTTCTTTCTCTCTTTTTCTATTTCTCTCTTTCTATTTTACTCCTTCTATTTTTTTTCTCTCTCTCTTTTTCTATTTCTCTTTTTCTTTTGTTAGGGGGCCCAATTTACTTGCCTTGCCCAGGCACTGACAAACAGTGCTACGCTACTGCAATAGAAACAGGGCAAGGGTTCCTCATTTGTTCCCATCTTTTCTTTTCCTACTGGAACACTTGTCCATTACTGTCTGAGGGTTTCCCAGTTTGACTAAAAATGGCCAGACAGTCATCTATGGGCAGATTTAGAATACTTGGTTTGGTGACTTTTCTATCCCTCAAGAAAAGCCTGCACCAGTGTAATGATGGGTACCACCTGTAAATGTTAAGACAATGAAATTTAGGTTAGGAGTATGAAATGTCCACCACTGCTTATGAAGTGCGGCAGTCATGACTATGTGATGTATGGCACAGCTTACAGAGTGCAGCAGTCAAGTGTACCTGTGGTATACACTGTTCAGAGTGATCAATGTAGTGCCCCACTTACATTTGTTGTCAGTAAACACATGACTTTTTATATTAGTG